TTATTTTGAGAGATGTACTTCGATTGGGAAGACAGTTTTTAAATACTTGGGCTATAAAGTATCAGAAAAAATATCACAGACTACTTAAAAAAATATTTTAACTGCCATTAAAACTACATTGTAAAATAGTCCAAGTTATTTTCATTTTACTTTTAACCCTTTGTGAACTGTCACTGAAATTTATGTAAAGCAGTTTCATAGTATGATTTGCCTCTATTTCCAAAATGTTCTTAATAAAGGACTCCATTTCCCAGGAACTTATTTTAATCATATAAAAATTAATCACATAAGTAATTAGAAAAAATATTCATGACTCAAAGCTCATTGAAGGCCTTTCTTGACTCCCCCTAATGCTATTTCTTCCTTTATTGAAAGCTCATAGCTATCTTTGTAGTTATGGAATTCAAAGAATTTATTTTATTCTACTTTACATTCTAGTGACATTGAACTTTCTACTTTTTCACTAATAGAACAAGAACTCTTGCATCTCTTAGAGTCATTGAGTCTTACACATGTCCATACCCTCCCCACCTCCATATCTAATTTGAATCCTGGAAAATGGTAGGCAATGTATATGTTCACCAACATCAACAACAACAAAAATTTTGGAGTACCAAAAGCCAATTTCTCCAAAGGGCCCTAAGAAAAATGAGTTATATTTTGGCAACCACAAATGTTCTTTTTTAAGCTTTATGCCACCCCTACCAATTTATCTATATTCTCATTATAAATAATATTTCTGCATTTCTTGTATATTCCTTAAAAATTAAAATACTGAGAACCATTCTGCTAGTACAGTAATTGTACTTATGAATCACGGTGTGTATATATAATACTAACTGAAATCATTGAACTCTTCCTTGCTAATGTAGTAAGAGTGCCAAAAATAAGATTTTTTTATGGGTAACTCCTAAGAAGTTTAAGAAAAAAACATTTTTTTACACTGAGAAAAGATGCAACTCTTGTGTTCATAATGTATAGTTGAAAACAGAATTTAACAAAGAATTTTACTCCTAAGAGGATCTCTTATTTACTCATTTATTCATCTAGAAATCATTGACAGGGCATTTATGCCTCGCCACATGTCTAGCAGTATGAGAGCTGCTGAGACCATAAAGCTAATTAAGGTGTAGTTCCCACCTTCCAGAAACTCACAGTAAAGTCAAAAAGTTTGAAGCTTAAGCTTTACTCTGCAGATTTGAAGGTATTTTTGTTTTTGAGTGCAGAAGTAACAAAACATGCTGTTCTTTTTGTAAGAAAGAGATTTGGGAAAGAAACTGATCATTTCATAACAGTCCAGTGAACAGATGAGGACCTAGTTGTGGTAGGAGAAACCAGATCTGGAAGATATTTGGTAGGTAGTATCAAGAAAACTTGATAGATTGATGAGGAGGTGAAAAGAATGAATCAAATGACATTTAGGCCTTTGACAGATGGACGAAAACATTAAATGAGACCTACATCATCAGTTAACAAGTACTTACCGAGTACTTTCTATATAGGTACCAGACACTAGCTATACAAAGTCTGTTTTCATTCTAGTCAGGGAGGCAGATAGTAGACAAATGAATAATCTACAAGAGTAATAAATGTGATGGAGAAACAAAGTTATATAATAGTAACAGGGGAAGGACACAGCCGAGGTAGTCATGAAAAGTTACACCTGAATGATAAGGAAAGAGCCAAGCGATGTTATGGTAGAAAGTGGGAGGGTGGCTAGCAAACACAAGGTTGAGATGAGAAAGAGCTTATCCTCATCAAGAGTCAGGAAGGCAGGTGGTGGATGAGGATGGGGACTGGGGATATGGAGAGAAATGAAATTGGAGAGAGCATGGAGCTCTTTGTAGCCCACTGCAAAGAGCTGAGTGTGTATTCTCTGTCCAGTGAGTAGTTAGCAGATTTGAAGCCAAGAAATGATGTGATCTGGCTGATAATTCTCTCTGCTACATGAAGAATGGGCTTAAGAGGGAAGAGTCCTAGTAAAAGTGGTGGTTTAGACTAACAATGACAAAATTGAGAAGCAGTCAGATTCCAGACAGATGACAAGACTTGCTGATGGACTAGATTTGGAGTTTGAGGGAAAGAAGGGAGGCACAGGGGTTTCAGTTCTAAACCAATAATATATGGTGGTGATATTAAATAGAAATGATGGAAACCTGGACAAAGAGAAGCTTCAGAGTGGTGGGGTCAGGAATCATGATCAGGTAATGGCTAAACTGTTAAGAAACTTCCAAGTAAAATGTATACAGTTGGATATATGGTCTAGAACTCAGGTGAGAGGTCTAAGCAGAGGTACACTTTGGGAGTCATGAGACTCTACACAGAATTTAAAGCCTCAAGATTGGATTAGGCTCATTTTGACTGAAACAAGGTGTGGAGGTGAAGATGGGGATGAGGGAAAGAATGTGCAACAATATTTTTGTTTTGCATTTTTGAAGGAATGGAATAAAGAATCCCATTTTTTGGAAGTTTAAGATCAAATTAAATATCATCAGGCTTTTTTTGTGACAAAACATACATAGCCTCTAAAAGTACTTTTCATTATTGTACTCTTGCACTGTGATTTAACACTGCGACCTCCTTTATAGTGTACTTGTTTCTAGTCTGCTGTATTAGTGAGCTCTCTGACAACACTGCCCTCACACTGCCCAGAAGCTACTTGGAAGGCACTTTTGAAATATCAAATACAGCACAAATATATACATCCAGACTTAATCATTAACAATTGATTGTATTAATGGAAAGTCTAGGAGGCAGCTAGTTTCAAATTTCTAAGGATTATAATCTTGAAAATTCCTTTCGAAAGAATTAATCTTGAAATTCTATCAGTGAACAAGCTTTGAAAAATAATTGAGTTCTGTCTGCAGATACTTCCAATGATCTGAATGTTTCTATCCTCCCCCAAATTCATAGGTTGAATATGGATCCTCCAGGTGATAGTATCCAGAGGTATGGCTTTTGGGAGGTGTTAGATAATGAAAATGAAGTCCTCATGAGTGGGATTAGTTTCCTTTTAAGGGACTGAAGAGACCAGAATTCTCCTAAATATTTTTTCTTAAACTTCTTAGGAGTTACCCATAAAAAAATCTTATTTTTGGCACTCTTACTACATTAGCAAGGAAGAGTTCAATGATTTCAGTTAGTATTAGAAATATACACACTGTGATTCATAATTACAATCACTGTACTAGCAGAATGGTTCTCAGTATTTTAATTTTTAAGGAATATACAAGAAATGTAGAAATATTATTTATAATGAGAATATAGATAAATTGGTAGGGGTTGCATAAAGCTTAAAAATGAACGTTTGTGGTTGCCAAAATATAACTCATTTTTCTTAGGGTCCTTTGGAGAAATTGGCTTTTGGTACACCAAAATTCTTGTTGTTGTTGCTGTTAGGACCCATGAGAAGGAAACAACTAAAAACCAAAAGGCTGGCTCTCATCAGATACCAAATTTGCCACATTCTGATTTTGGCCTTTCCAGACTTCAGAACTTATTAAGAAATAAGTTTCTGTTGTTTATAAACTACCTGGTATATGGTGTTTTCTTATAGTAGCCTGAATAAGAGTAAGACACTAAGCAATTAAACTCAAGTAATCATTGATGATTTCTAAACTATCTGTGTGGTTGTCTCCGAAATCCCAAACACATTTCCTGTCAAAGATGCTGCTCATGCCCAGTGTGGTATCACATGCATGTAATCCCAGAAGCTTGGGAGGTTGAGGCAGGAGGATCCTTAGTTCAAAGCCAACCTCAGCAACTTAGCGAGGTACTGAGCAATTCAGTGACACCCTGACTCTAGATAAAATAGAAAAAAAGGTGGGGGGATGGGGTTGGGAATGAGGCTAAATGATTAAGCATGGTATTAAAAAAAAAGATGCTATTTATGGTCAGCACTCACTAAATGTTTGAATAAATGAAATAGATCAAGTTGCTTCAATATATAAGCTGGACATTTTCTTTGTCCTAGATCTATTTCTTTCATCACTAAGTACTCAGCTCCTTGCACAGTGACTTAGGTACAGTCAGTGCTTAATAAATATGTGTTGTATGCATGAGCAAAAGAAAAGAACAGTTTTACGGAAAAGATGATTCTTTTTTCCTCTTCATAAATTTACTTCCCATATCATGTCTAAATAAGTTTTCCTTATTAAAAACATTTGCTCACTGTGAAAAATATAAATATAAAAATACAAATCTCTCTTAAAATAAAGGTTACTTCCTAGTTATAACTCATGCAATAAGTCTTTTGGCTGCTTACTCTGTTATGCATTGGGGACACCATGATGGGCCACTCAGGCCAGGTTCCTGACCTCACTCTGGCTGTATGTAGCAATAACCTCCCTCACTACAAACAGAATGTAAGCAGAGGTGTGTCAGGTAAAGAGTTTCAAAATTCATGGCTCTCCCTTCTGCCTTAATACTTAACATTCCCCTAAGTCTTAAAAATGATTCTTTCAGTGGTTAAATAACGTTAATATATTTCTACATAGTACTCAAAATTATCTCAACTATATTTCCAAGTACCCTCAAGGAGCAAATAGCTTTCTCATGTGAAAAGAACGAATACCCTAGCTTTTTTATAGAATATTGTCAAAGAGTGTACTTCACTGCTAGAAATGGTAAGGTAATACAGTTCTGAATAGGTTATTTTCAAACCTTTCTCTGTAGGTTCATATACTGTCTTTTAATCCAAAATATTAGAGAATAACCACTCAGTTAAAAATAGTTCAGATATTTTAACTTAAAAACTCTATTCCCCTTTTTGTTTTAACAGAAAGTTTCCATTCCTAGCACTGAGATAAGCTTGGCTGTTGGGAACTCCCTCCCTCCCTATACTGATATCTTCTGACTTTCAGCAGATCACCTGTTTCTTGGTATCTAGGCACCTGTTTGTATATCGAGAGCTAAAGTTACTCTTTATCCTCAGAGGAATATGTAATCATAGTGACTTGTTCAGTTTCACCCCAAAAGGGCTCTTACTGTGTTTCACTTACCTCCAAAGGTTGGCTGCCTTCCACTTCTGAAGTTTTACCCCTTGGTTCATTTGTTGTATCTCCTATGAAGTAAAAAGGACAGAAACTTCACCATACTATTAAGGCCAAATTGTCTTCTACTTACTTGAATTTTTTTTCATTATTCTGTTTCACATAATGAAAACAACCACTATTTCCTTTGTTACAAAGTAAATGAGTAATTCTGAAGAACAGTAGTTTTATACAGGTCTCATAAATCATCCATAAACATATATACACACTACCTACACCAGAGATGTATCGTGCTTTACAGGTATATGCTAGAAAAATCAAATGAATTCTAATTTTTAATCAAGTCATAGTTCAAATAAACAAAGAAAGTTTGACTTAAAAAAGGCAAATCATTTTAAAACAGCATTTTTATCATATGAGTAACTGTCCTCCAAATTAATTTTTCATAAGGTTTACTCTTTTTCTATTTTTTTAAAGAGAGAGAGAGAGAGAGAGAGAGAGAGAGAGAGAGAGAGAATTTTTTTTTTAAATATTCATTTTCTAGTTTTCGGCGGACACAACATCTTTGTTTGTATGTGGTGCTGAGGATCGAACCCGGGCCGCACGCATGCAAGGCGAGCGCGCTACCGCTTGAGCCACATCCCCAGCCCAACTCTTTTTCTATTTTTATTGTTATTTTTTTTTTAGTTGTAGATGAACACAACACCTTAATTTAATTTATTTATTTATATGTGGTGCTGAGGACTGAACCCAGTGGCCTCCGCACGCTAGGCAAGCACTCTACCACTGAGCCACAACCCTAGCCCATAAGGTTTACTCATTGTGTGCTTTTGTGGATCTGCCTTGGAGTAGATATTGTACTTTTCTATGTAATAATTAACCAAATGCCAGATAATCATTACCACAGGAAAGAACAATGAACAAATGCATAAATTAGTCTTCAGTTAATACTTTAATTTCTAAGGTTGATACCTGAGTGGGTTATATTACTAAATGAACTAGGTTACTAAGCTGCCTGGAAGGACCCAGAACAGATATAAATATAGTTGGGCAAGTATAAGCATGATTAACTTATTAATTACCTGCTTTAATTTATTAATTATTGCTAATGGTGATGATTAACACATGATAGGTAGACAACAAATTAGCCTACTTTTTGAAGCATAATCAGAAGCTAAATTAGCAAATTGTAAACTGTTCTTCCCCCCCCCAAATTAAGCCATCCTAGGAATGTCCCCAACAGGGACAATTAGCAAATTCATGGATGATGGCATGGCTGACACTACAGGTTAGGAATGTGTTAGCATACAAGGTCACAAGTCTTGATTGAAGATAAAGCATGAAAATCTTTGGGGAGCTTAGCTTTTCCTTATGAAACACAAAAGTTTAGTTTATCAATGACTGTAAACAAGAAGGAGCCTCATGAAAATTTCAAAGGATTAAATAAAACCCTGTTAAATTCTAAAATCATGAAGCAAGAACTAAAATTACTTAAGATATTTTAACTCCCCACAGTGTTTACAATCTAAACATGTCAGTGCACATTCCCAAGAATCAGCTTTGTTCTCAGTTGTATGCAAAGTTATTGTTAGGCAGGGTCCAGCACATAAGAGAAGTTCAATAAGTATTAATTGAATAAATTAGTGAATTTATTTTTATGGTTTCTTGCCTATAAATCTGTGACAAAAGACTTCCCGGTAATGAACAAAAACTGTATTGGAGCAGTAATGTCTTTCTTCTAAAACTTTGTGAAACTTAAAAGGAAAATTTAATAAATACCACTCTGATATATTGCTACTAATTCAATTGCTACTAGAATTCATAATTGTGATATAATTTGTTAAATTTTAAAATCAGTTAAAAATTAAAAACACATTAAAAAGCATTAGGGATTTTTTAATTATGTCTATAGATAATAAAGTTTATTGTTGTTAAATGAAATTTTTAATCAATCTACTCTTGTGACTTAGGATGTCAAACAACTATTTTGATTGATTTTTGAGGAGGTTACTGGGGATTGAACTCAGGGGCACGTGACAACAGTCACATCCTCAGTCCTATTTTGTATTTTATTTAAAGACAAGGTCTCAATGAGTTACTTAGTGCCTGCTTTTGCTGAGGATAGCTTTGAACTCACAATCCTCCTGCCTCAGCCTTCTGAGCCACTGGGATTACAGGCGTGCACTGCTACACCTGGATATTTTGATTGATTTTAAGTGACTTTACATTGACCACTTATTGGCACAACAAGAAAAGACTTATTTTTAGAATTCCCATTTTCTCTGAAAATCAGGGATTCAATAACCAACCTTCAATTGTAAGTGGAAAAATGAATGCACAAGGAGTTTATTTTCCTTAGTTATGCACATGAGACCAATATAACATGAGCAGCCAAGGTAATATAGATCTCTATATAATGAGGTCAAGGTGGAGTTTAATAATGCACATGCAAAAAAAAAACCCCACATATGTGTACATATGTATGAGAAAATATGCATAACCCACTATATGAAAAGTCATTAACTCTAAGAAAGATCATTTATCTTTAAAAATGATTACTACTCCACCCATAGCCACACAAACACTGTAATCAACTGAAACCATTGAGTACAAATCTATTTACTTTGCCATTTTCTGAGGTGTGTATCTACACAAAAGTTTCTCCATTCTCCCTACTGCTTGAAAAACCAGAAAGGTTATCAGCTAGTGTTTTTGACATCACATAACACATCTGCCTGGAAGCAATTGCAGAATCACTATTTACTGAAATGCCATGTCTGGCGATGACTCAGATAGGACAATAACTGATTACAAGGAAAATTGCCATCTGCAACTTTATTTATCTACAAACAAAGACACAAAATGAAGGCTAAAGAAACAACAAAGGAAATAATAGGTTGCAATAAAATATAATTTTTGAAAGTTATTTCTATTATTTTATAATGGTAAAAGTTAATTTACTGTCTATATATTCTATAATCCACATAGAGGCTAGATACTTCAACAATAAACAAAAAGGAGGTGAGAAATGTGAAATAAGATATTATCATCTTCAAATATCAGTTAATTTTCACTTCTATGCTGAATAGATTCAAAAATTTCATTTATAAGTCAGTCATTTAAAAAGAACAAAACCTGTGGCATTTTTTTGCAGTATTTTAATGCTCACAAAGCCTTTTTTTAAAAAAAATATTTTTATTAGTTGTTGATGGATCTTTATTGTATTTATTTATTTATATGTGGTTCTGAGGATCAAACCCAGCACCTCACACGTGCTAGGCAAGTGCTCTACCACTGAGCCACAAACCTCAGCCCCTCACAGCCTTTTTAAAAAACATTAAACTTTATTATTTAGTTGGGTAGGCACAATAATATCTCCCTTGTACTTCCCTAGTTGACAGGTAAGTAAACTCTAATGGGTACTCAGTGATTCACCCATAGTCTCCCAGGTAGAAGGCAGTCCCATTGCAGGCAGAATCCATTTCCTAACATCCCCAGGGTCTCAGGTCTGGTGAAAGGTGGTTAAGGGCTGAGGTGGGAGGAACCAAGTCTCTGAGTTAGGTAGCAGGGTGGGAAGAGCCCAGAGCATAAACGGAAACTCTGAAAGCTCTGTGCTGTTCAAACCTAAGCCCCGACTCTCTATCCCCACTTCTATCCAATTCTTTTTTGCTTTCCGAGGCCCACAGATTTTCTATTTTCTTCTCTTTCTGGAACAGATGCCAAATACTTCTGACTAGAGCAAGCTTCTGTCCTTCATTCTAGTTTTGTAAAGCAAACACAGTCTCCTGGATATTCTTCTAGAAGGTTGTGAGGCTAGAAACATTTACAAGGGACAAAAATTCCTCTTGTACCATAACCATGTAATTTTCTTTGTTTAAAATGTAGCTTTTATTTAGAATAAATGATAACACACACACACACACACACACACACACCCCTCTAAAGCTCTTTCAGAAATTAAAAAAAAAAAAAAAGTGAAATTCACCTATAGCTTAGATTAGAGGTTAGCTGATTTTTTTTTTTTTTTCTGTAAAAGGCCAGACAGTAAACATTTTAATCTTTTCAGGCCATATGGTCTCTGTCACAAATTCACAATTCTACCATTGCAGCCAAAAGCAGCCATGGACAATATCTAACCTAATGAGTGTGGCTGTGTTCCAATACAATTTTTATTTACAAAAACAGGTGGCAGGCTACAGTTCTCTAGTCTCTGATTCAGAGGAATATATGTGTTCCACCTTTGCTGGGACAAAAAATTGAATAAAGTTTGAACTATACAAGGGCATAGGAAAGAGACAGCCATTAGAGTACCATCATGATCTCATTCTCCTGGGTGAAGATGGGAGGAGATGGTAGAAAGTGATCATTAGATACAAGGGAAAGTGGAAAGGGGAGAAGTTCTTAGGCATGGGAAGGGAACACTAATGCCTCCTTGAACCATTCAGAGGAGGCTTGTCCAGAGGCTTAGTGGTAGGTGGGAAAGTGAACAGATACTTGGTTCCCACTCTTTCTGCTCCATTAGCATTCACTCCAGGCCTCTCTCCACTCTTCTTTCTGTGGTGTGGTAAGTTTGGGATGACCTGGCTGGCTGCCCATGGTTCTGCCCCTTCTTCCCTTCTCTCCAAAACAGCACATTCTTCTGAACCTCTGAATGGACAGACCTTGGCTTGGGGAAGCCTGCTCCACGTATCCTGTAACTGAATGTAACTCAAGCTAATTCTGAGATTCAGATTAAGAAACCCTTTTGCTCCCTGATATAAGCCTCGTTCTTCAACACCACTTTTCCAGGCAATACAGATGAGAATTTGATCTCCATCCATTTCTTTTTCCCTCTCAAGCAGAGGGCTGTAATTACTAGCATGCCCTTTGTAGGCCCAAGAGGACTGGAAGGGACTGGTGTGGACGTGATTGGAGCCCACTGCATATAAAAAGTTGTGAATACAAAAAGCTGTTCATTTCTTTTTCTTTTTTTAAGTTAGAGTTTTAATCTAGAATTCCATATCTGAGAATGCAACCTAAAAAACACTGATTCCAAGAGGTTCACATGGAAAAAATTTTTTTCTCTTGTCAG